AAACCACTTCCGAAACACCTTGCCTTGAAAACTGCAGGGACTCGTCCAGGCAGTCGCTGCAAAATCGGTCACGATTGAGTGCAGATTAAAAAAAAAAAGTGTGCTTAGCCACCCAAAGACGCATTCGCAAGACGGGCGGCCATGTAAATCAATATAATAAAATGAACAAAATAATATGAGAAGCTCTAGTTAACTTTTCTCCATGCTGCAATTTGCAGATTGGTTTCTTCAGAGTCCAAAAAAGGGAGCTTGTTTGCCTTACGTTCACGCCGAGCATGATTAAACTGACCCTCAGTCTTTATCTTCAGCTGGTTATATTCATCTAAAATTTAATCAGGTTAGTTAAAGATCTAGCAGGCAGCTATACCACACAAAATATCAAGCATAAATAGGTTTAAACTTTCAGTTAGTCTGCAGCTCAATAATTCAATGCAAGGTGCAAATCCAGAAAATAGGTTAATTCCATAATCAGCTTAGGTGTGTTAATGTCGATGTGGATGAGGAATACAGGTAGTCCTCATTTAATGAACATTGGTTTAGCGACTGTTCAAAGTTACAACAGTGCTGAACAAAGGGACTTAACAACCAATCCCGGCACTTACAACCGCTGCAGCACCCCCATGGTCACATGATCATGATCCGGGCACTTGGCAACCAACTTGCACTTACGATGGTTGCAGCATCCCGGGGTCATGTGATCACCATTTGCAACCTTCCCAGCTAGCTTCTGGTGAGCAAAATCAATGAAGAACCACGTGATTTGCTTAACGGCCATGGTGATTCACTTAATGACCACTGCAAAAAAGGTTGTAAAATTGGGCACAACTCGCTTAACAACCACCGCACTTAGCAACAAATTTTCCAGTCCTACTGTGGTCATTAAGCGAGGCCCACCTGTAGCTCCATTCTGGAGTTGTGCTGCCCTCACGTTGAGAGCAACTTTGAATGGGCCTCTAATATTTCTTGCTACATGATTCAACTGCAGCTTTTGCCCATCTGGAACAGGACACCATTCAGATGGCGATGTGGCCCTCACTTTTTATTCTCTAAACGGGTGAAGGGAAAATTAAAGGAGGTCACTAAAAGAAGACAGAAAATGCTCCCTTTTTTTGGATGCAGAAAAGGCCGTTGACAATTTGACAATAAAGCCATTCTTGCTGGCTGTACTGAATAAAATGAAACCCAGAGAAGTGAGTGCAAAGCTTGGGTGAAAATCATACGTAACAGAGCACTCTCCGCAGATTTTCAAATAAGTAAAGTCACCAGGCAAGGATCTCCGCTCTCTCCTTTATTATTCATCATTGCTCTAAAAATATTAGCAGAAAAGATCTGAGGTGACACACAAATATCAGGTCTTAAAATCTGTGGAGAGGAATATAAGCTTCAGTGTTGTGCAGATGATGTAGTATTAACCATCACAGAACCACAGAAGGTAATAAAACAGTTGATGAAACCAATCCGTAGCTTTGGAGAATTCTCGGGATACAAAATAAATGTCTAAAACCCAAAAATAATTACAGAATACTTGACGCAAGGAGAAGTTAATCTCTTGCAGGAAGAATCTGGCTGTCAAATAACCTATTTCAAGTGAAATACCTTGGTCTGCATTTGACAGCTAATACAGCAATCAAGAAATATATCAAAATAAACTATGCCGAATTATGGTCAGAAGTCAAAAGACTTCTCGAAAGGTATAGTCATTTAAAGTCATCTTGGTTAGGATCAGTTAGAGTTATCAGAATGAATGTATGATCCAAGATAAATTACTTGTCTCAAATGGCACCGATTCCAATCTCAGGAAAAAAACCTTACAAGAATGAGAAGAAAACATCAGTAAATGTATATGGAGTGGGAAAAGACTTGAGTTAAATTTTAAAAATTGACAAGGGGTCTTCCTCTTCCAAATTTTAAATTGTATCATAAAGAAAGCTGCCTGTCATGGTTCACAGAGTGGATAACGTTCCCGAATAGTAGAACATCAACACTGGAAGAAGCTTGTCCAGCCAGTGGACTCCACAGGTATTTATCCTAAAAAGACATATTATCAGACATTTAGATAAAAGCATGGAATTCCATAAGAAAAAGAATAAGCCCAAGAATCTCACTGTTAACCTCTCCTTCAAATGCTTTCCATGTTGGAGATAATTATACTACGAAAAATGGAATTAATAAGCAGATATGGTTCACTCAGTTTCCACGAACAGATTAGACAGAGTAAGAATTATTCAAAAGGCTGGAATATACCATGATTGACGTAATTACAAATTGCTGGAAGGATAAAATCTGATCTTAAGAATGAGGGAGGGACATTAAGAAAAATGACAGGATTTGAAACGCTTGTACAAAATCAACACCATTTGTTAGGGCACATATATAAACTCCTACTCAGATATGACATGGAGATAGAATAAATAGAAAATTGCATGATAAAGTGGATGTAGAACAGTCACAATACAACAATGGGAAGAACTATGGACCAAATCCATGAAATTCACTCCAAGTTATGATCCAAAAGAAAATTGGTATAAAATGTTTTACAGATGGTCCACGACTCCGTCAATAATTCCCAAGATAGATAAATCATACAGTAACAAATGTTGGAAATGCCATGAAACAGAAGGAATATCTTACCACATGGGGTGCACATGTAAAAAAACCTCAGAAATATTGGAAAGATATACATAGTGCCGTCCGAGAATTTTGGAAATTAATTTTGAAATGAAACCACATTTTTTTAACTTGGTATAATTCCAGAATATGTTAACAACTGAGATATATGCTCACAGCTGTGAGGATAAACTTTGCCCAGCATAGGGAGAAAGATACAGCACCGAAGATATCTGATTATGAACTTAAACTTGGAGAGTACACAACAGTGCCAAAACTAACAGCATATAACCACCACAGAAGCTTAACTAAATGTAAGCAAGAATGGCTTCCATATACAGGTAGTCCTCGCTAAACGACCGTTCGTTTAATCATGGTTTGAAGTTACAGTGGCCTCAGAAAAAGTGCTTTACGACCTGTACTCGCACTTATGACCATCACAAACTGTCGCACCCCCCCCACAATCATGTGATTGTGATTTGTGATCTTTTTTTTACAATGATCGTTAAGCGAATCATGTGGTTGTTAAGCGAATTCCAGCAAAAAACATCCATTGGGGGAAGCTGGATTCACTTAACAGCCACATGATTCACTTAACAACTGCGTAAAGATTGGTCGTAAAATTGGGTCCAATCATGTGGTGATTCGCTTAACGACTGCCCTGCTTAATGACCAATTTTCTAGTCCCTATTGCGGTCATTAAGCGAGGATTACCTGTACACAGTACAACACTCAGCAAAGCAAATACAAACACTTACAGTATGGTTTTTAAGGGGTTCTAAATATTTATAAATACTGCAAATTGGTCAGAGAATGCAGGAGGGGGAAGTTAGAAATTAAGTACTTATCTACCCTTCCAAATAGCTCCTTTTCTTTCCTTTTTCTTTCTTTTTTTCCTTAACATTTATAAACCATAATAAATCACATAGACCTTACTATTAAGCCGAAACCTTTTTTTACATTATAAAATAACCGAATGCATTTCGCAATTGTCTATCAATGCCCTACTTCACTTCAATTGTACAATTCAAGCACCCTTATGTTTATTAACATTTAAGAAATTATATTTAACATTGATATGCGCTTTTTTTTTAATCTTTAACTTATCTGAACTATCCCAGGGTTAACAATTTCTTGCTTATATTGCATACCTACCGCGGTACCCAGCTAGCATCTGTATTCTATAATGTATTATTTGCATGTTATCATGCAATAAAACAATGACTTGGAGGGGGGGAAAAGCATATGGAAAATGCTCTCTTTTTCAATCCTACTGTACAGGGGGTGTTCTGAAGAAAAAGATATAAAGTTTAGGAAAAAAGGAGGATAATATAGTTGGCTGGGGGAAACACAAGAAAATTGTGGAAAAGTTTGTTGAAACTTAAGCTTCTAGATCAGTGTTTCTCAACCTTGGCAACTTGGAGATGTGTGGACTTCAACGCCCAGAATTCCCCAGCCAGCTATGCTGGCTGGGGG